CCACTATTTATGGGTTACTACACTAGTCTAGACCCTATCCTGGGTAGTGGGGTGACCGTAAAATACGATTTCTGCTTTGACACATGAAAAAAGTGTTTTGGCGGAGTGCCTCTTGCAGTCTGCCGTAGAAAGGTTACCTTGTTGATCTCGAGGTGGGTGGGGCCCAGCCGGCCGAGTGGTCATGCATGCACATTTGTGCTCCGGCGGATCGTAAGTTGGCTCTGTGGCTAACACAGCCAAGGCCGTCGTGCCGCGAAGCGCAGTCGACGGCCGTTCGAGGGTACGGGGCGCTTGCTTTTGAATGCGCAAACTGCTCGGCGGCGTGCTAGTATGAGGGGCCTGTCCCGTCAGGCTCCATTGACGGCCACGGATGAGGCTGGCAGTGGCGATTGCTCAGCATCATCCACTGTCTCTGTGTCTACGTCCGCATCACTGGAGTTGACGTGACCCAGGCCGCCAATCTCACACTCGTACATCCAGTGGCCTGCACAAGTTACAAGCACTTTCAGGGCAGATCACAGTCTTTACAGACCGTCATTTCGAGGACGGGCGATGAAAATGACCTAGATGACGCTTCGAAGCTTGCGAGAGCGTCTGAGCAACTGATCAGTCTTCAGATCTGTGGTGATACGCGAGCGTCTATCGCTATTTCACATCTAGCTTCTATCTGCCAGTCTTCTCGTCTTGGGATTACTCTCTCAAGGCGATGTGTTGCTGACGAGATTGAAGGTTTTGGGAATTCGGCACGCTCGGGACTGGAATCCGGTTCATGACCTTCAGATATTTTGACCACGAAGCGAGGACTGGTCTTCCCACTGCGACTTATGTCAATACTGAACCATATTGGTTTGGTTCGACGGCCTGTTCCTGAAAGTTTAAAGCCTTGGCTCTCCCCTGACATCCCCCCCCCCCCCCCAAAAAAAAAAAAGAAAGAGGAAAGAGAAGATGGATGCTATGGGAGAAGTAGTATGAGAATAGATCAGGATTCCGAACAAAGCTTGAGCCAAACGCGCTTTTGCCTAGAAAACACCCGTTGACCCGTGCCGCCTCGGTAGGTCACGTTCACCATCTGCCCGACCACAAGGTCAGCATGCTTTTGCAGCCTCGAGTGTGACGCCTCCATGCCAAGAAAGTCATTTCCGTTCCAGACCATTGCG